TGGAGCTCATCAGTCTCCTCATCGTCTCATACCTGCTCTCACAGGTCTGACTGTCGAAGCAGTACCATCCACCTGAACCACACACACACACACACACACACACACACACACAGGTTACAAATAGCTGCACCGAGTTCCCCGTGTGGTCTGAATCAGGTGTATTTCATCCTCACCTTCCAGGAACAGCAGCCACCTCTTGCTTCCTTTTGACTCCTTGATGTAGTAACTGCACAAGAACAGCAAAACAAAGCAGCGTGAAAGCGCTGATGTATTCACACATTCATGAATGGATTCAAACAGTCTCCACACACTGGGGATGCTTCCTGTTATCCTGAGCTGACAGATCTGGCTCTGATCACTAAGCTTCTCTGTAGGAGCCAGGGTACTGCAGAGCCGCACATGTCCGGTTGTGTTTTTTCACATAGCGACAGGAAACTCACCATGCTGCTGGCAGCACACGAACACTCACACTTGATGCGGGTGGCATATCGAAAGAGTCATCTCATTCACAGCGATTTAATTCATATTTGGCCCACAATATATTATAATCTACACTTGGAACAGAGTTTAAAAACTTTGACATTGAGTGGAATTAACTGGTGATCCCATAAAGCTTTGAACTATTATTAGTTATAATCTTTGTTGTCATTACTCTTAATTTTGCTATATCGTAAAGTCGCCAGAGCAAGAATAAATGCCCCTCTCTCTTCCTCGCTCGCGCTCTCCCTCTCGTGTACGCGCTAATATGCAGCGTGCATGGCGCTCTCTCTGATCTGATCCTTTGATCCATTTTGGTCACATCCGGAGTGACACGGGAATGGAGCACACGGATCTAAACCAGTAGTAAAACGCAGATCGGGTGTTGGGTGTATCTGCCCCTCCATGTCTCAGATTCTTACCAATTAATGACAAAACTGTGGTTTTAAATCACGCCTGTAGGTCATTAAGAAACTCTGAAGAATCTGCAGGCCATTCACTTACCCTGCAGGTGACCCGTCGTTGCAAGTCACGGACACGTTCTTCAAAAAGTGCAGCTTCATGTCCTGGTCCAGCTTTTGCGCAGAGCACGGATAGAGTGACTGCGCTAAGTTCTTTATCTGCACTACAAAGTTGTCCATGTTGCCCTCCACAGCTGTGAAGTCTAACGGGAAGCTTTCTGCTCCTTCCACCCGCTCCCTGTACGGCGGGGGCGTCTGCTGCTGCTGCACCCTCCGTGTTTGTGCCCGACCGCCGCGCACTCTCCTCGCTTCCACCGGTGCGCTCAGGTGGATGAAGAGCAGCAGCAAGCAGGAGCGCACCGCGGACAGTCCAAGTGAGTTTCTCGCCACACCACGGCTCTGCATTTCTAATTATTACTGGAGAACGTTCCTCGCGTGTTTGCGTGGGCTCTGAAGAAAACACAGCATATCCTATGAGTGGGTAGATCAACGGGAAGTTCTTCGAAAGCGCATGGAGACTTCAAGCAAACGATCTCCTATACCAGCAGTGCTGGGTAAAAACAGCTTATGGGTCTCCATGGTGCCCTGAGAGATGGGTATCTGGATTCAAAATCATGCAAAATGCGCGTGCAGTTCCAGTTCATTTCCTTAAATCGCGTGCAGTTCGTCCAGTAAACGGGTTCTTCCGTGCGTAAAAATCTCTGAAGTTCCGTCCAGCTCAGTCTATCCAGTGACCTGTTGCCTTTTGGTTCAGGTCTTATAAGCTGTGGATGAAGAGGGAATTTATTTGAGGTCCTCCCCTCTCCTCCCCCCGTCCCCCCTGCCTGCCCCCGTGCTTCTCACTCCCGCGGGCCAATCGTTATTATCGTTGGCGGATGCTCCTTGCGGGGCGTGGGTCTCACACCAAGAGCGCGCGTATGCCTGGCACGCCCCCTCAGTCGGTTCACTCATACCCCCGGCCCCTTTGATGTTGTGTCATCATATGACCGCGCAGCCTTTGAAGTGTCTTTGATGAACATAGTGTGTGAGTAAAAAACGCAGTTGGACACGCCGTTCCGCTGCAGAAGGTCACGCCACTGATGCACATGTTTTGCGGCTTTTTATGCGCTTCAGAGTTAAACTGCATTTTCTTTGTGTTCGTGGCTCAAGATAGATAATCAGATAATCTTTTGGGCTATTTCACAACAGGAGATAAGGTCGCTGGAAGTTTTTAAATCATGAGTGTGGTATGTGTAGACAGTGATAGGGCGAACAGATCGCTTTGAGTCACACTAAAGCATAAATCAACACTTATTACTGACAAGTAAAATATTTAATCTATGCTTGCGGTATGTGAGTTTTAGATTATTATGTGACAATTATTAACTCTGTTGTAACTGTTGACTGTATTGAAGACCTTTGACTCATCCTTATTGTAAATGTGAGCCAGCGCTTCATCTTCTCCACTTTTTACTTTTCCTTTACAACCATTTTTTCCAAAACTGACTTCTTATTGTGTCGTTAAACCTCACAGATACATGAACAGAATCCCAAAGCAGTTTGAGAACCGGCACTGGCTGGCCTGGTTGGAGAACTCATCAGTGGTGTCAATGTCATTTTATATGTGACCAATTTAATTTCAAGTGTGCTGGGTCAATAAAAACATTGTATGATTCCCCATTAAGACAATCTTTGTCAGTATGAAGTGGTTTGTGTGTTCTTCTCTGGGAGATCTTGTTTTTCCAGCCACTGGAAAAATAGAATAGAATAATTCCGCACATCTAGGCTCAAAAGAAAAGTGATTCTTAATCCCCGAAAGCTTCTTTTTCTAAGAAGATGGTGAAACTTGGATAAAATGAATTGTTTGTACAGCCACTGCAACCATGTGATTCATTTTAACCACTTAAAACACAGGTTAACTTCTGGTGAAGTGAAAGGTTCTCTGAGATTTTCACATCTTGTTAAGCCATCCAGGAGGCCAGACTGGACCTATGGGTGGGACACATGTAGCTCATGAGCCATATGTTTAACACCAGAAAGCTATGTTTTCCCATATTGTTTCTTTTACATCTGCTCATCTTTAAAAGTCCCCATTCATTCACCAGATCCACCGTCCTCTGATGACTAACATTCACACACTGCCTGTAATTTGATTTCGATCTTTGATGGGTTTTTTTATGATGAAAGGAACACTTAAAAAAAGGTCTCTCAGCATGTAAAACCCACTGCAGATGCCTTTATAAGTTTGCGCTCTATCCAGACAGTTTTGAAGTTTCAGTCCTGCTGAGCGAGGAAGGAAACTGATTGTTTGTTTGTTTGTTCAGATGGTGGCAATTTCCCACTAGGACTGAGAAGCGCATTCATTTCTGTCTGCCTGTCTCTCTTTCCCAGGTGGACTTTGTCTTTAAATGTTGCTGTTGAAGCAGTCAGTCAATCAGTCAGTTGTTCGGCCTCTGAAGCTCTGGCCTCACACCTCTCCATCTGTTGGCACCACTTGTCATGTTGTTTGTCTCGTCTTATTCCAGCTTTGATCCAATTTGATCCATGCTGAGAAAAAACAGCCTTGATTGTTGTTGCTCAAACTGCATACATACAGTACATTAGATTTTCCATATGGAGAGCAGATTGACTGTGTGTGACTGTGTTGTGGTCAGTTTACAGACAGGATCAATTTCCTTCTCTCATGAGGCCAGATTGTGTTTTCTTATTATGCTTTTAAGGTCAAGGGAAGAGTAATGATCTTCATATTGTTTTTAGATGCACACTGTACAGTTCAAGCTGTGGAGGGTTTTTTTCACAGAATGAATAGACCTGGTTTTAGATTTATTTTTACATTCGAGTCTGATGTTGTTAACCCACTCAAATTATTTTTTCTAACACAAACGGATGTGTAGAAAAGACCTTCCCAAACTTAAGTCTCCCCGTCCACCCAGGTTAATGTGGTGACTCTAAATGCCATGTAATTCACATCATGTTTATAATTCATAAATAATTCCTTTAGCTGGATTTAGACAGACTAGTCAATAACCCTAACCCCTTTGGTTTATTCTGACAAAAGGGAAAGTAAGAGTTGGCATTAATATGATTAATGAGGTCTTATTTTTATGTAAGTGTTCTAGTAAGTTGCCAGTATACACAGTACATAACATGGGATCCAATAATAAGAAATTACAAATTACACTTGTATGCATCTGTTAAGTCAGAAATTTAACACTAGTTTCAAGTAGACAAAAATTATTTCCCAAATAATACAAAATACAAAACCTTATAATATCATACTGTCCCAATAGAGCAGTTCAATCTCTAAAAGCAGAGTTGGAGGCAAATCCTTCAGCTATCAGGTTAGCTCCCAGTTTGGGTTCAGGAAACAGACACCCTCCCTACTTTTAGATTCGGCTTCAAACTTTCCTTTTGATAAAGCTTAGCGTTTGGGATGGATCAGATGAGTCTAAAGCGTCTTAGTTATTCTTTTATAGGTTCAGGCTGCTGGGACACTTCACACAATGTAAGTAAAGTAAAGTAAGTAAATTTTTATTTACAATGCATACCATTTCTTCTCTAGTCCACTCTTTTCACTCCTGATGCATTTACATGCCACTACTGCATGTCATTAAATTGTGTCTACCCTCTCCCATAGCATGTGGTATGTTTCTGTCTCTGTGCTCTTTTTGAGACAATGGTTGTTTTGAATACAAAAATGCACCGTATGAATAAACCCAAACCGAACTGAATTTGGTGTTAACATATTTCACTGTAACGTTTTTTAAAATAAAAGACAATAAACTACTAGCCAGTCTAAACTATAGTAAGGCTTAGTAAATGAATATATAGTGCAAGTTGTGTTCTTAGTATTTTTGTCATGCTGTAGCACTTTAAGAGACTAGCAGATGTCTCTTAAAGTGCTATTTGACTATTACAGTGGGACGCTAGAACATTGTGGGGGTTATTTCTTCTTAATTTTTTTAATGTCTGTATAATTTACATTATTTTGCTTGGTAATAACGCTCATAAAGGTGAGACGAAGAAAATCTTAAAAGTTGAACGAACTGCACCTTTAAGTGTTGCTGCGACAGAGTCAATAAAGCTTATTCAAACAAACACTGTGACGTCAGGACACGCAATGGCTGCTAGTGGCACAGCTGTAACGGTTCTCACTCCCAATGGGAGAAGGCAAACAGTTAAAGTGGCTCCAAACACGCCGTTACTGCAGGTGAACTTTTATAGAGGAGTGTTTCATCTTTACTTAGGTGGACGGCTTATTGAATTCAGCGCTTTGGTTACAGAACCGGACTAAATTCCTTTCCTCCGAGTTAGCTTGCTAGGCTAACAGTTGTTAGCCAGTGACTGATCAGTTTGTGTTTTCGTGCGGATGAAATCAGATTATTTGGAAGATTTTGTGGCATAACTCGTGTTGTAACATTTTCCGCCTTCAGGTGCTGGAGGAAGTCTGCAAGAAGCACGGATTTGACCCAGAAGATCACGGTTTAAAGTGAGCAAATGAACGTAGCTGTAAATCAGTTTTTGTCCCTTGAGATTAAAAGCCTTTCATTACATCCAAATACACTTTAATACATAAACAATCGCACTGTACAGTAGCGGGATAGTAATGTGTGAAATATCCGTATATTTACGTAGTTAAAGAAGTTAAGCTAGTTAAATGTTGTAAGCGATTTTCACACATTACGCAACTCTGTTTTGGTTTCAGGTCGTGTTTACTTATATTTAAAAAATCGGTGTCATTGCAGGAAAAAAGAAACAAGACAAATTATGTGTCAAAAAAATTAAATCAAATTAAAATTTGATAACTGTTTGTAATGCATTGATCAAATTTAGTCCTCGGGCTCATACATCATTCTTCACAGCTGTCCAGCTACTCCACATGAAACATTTAATTGCTGGCTTTCTCCTCCACTGTTAACATTTTTGGCAGGTTTCAGAGGACTATTGTTGACCTGACGCGGCCATGGAGGTTTGCAAACCTGCCCAACAACGCCAAACTGGAAATGGTGACGAGTACGAGGAAACAAGTTATAGCTGACAGCCAGGTCAGTTCAAACAAAGTGCAACTTGGGGCTCAACGATTAGTCAGATTTTAATGTCAGTTATGATTTTGCTCTCTAATTGTTGCGAAAACAAAATAATTGTAACTATCTTCTTTGCTCCTGGGTTTTTTTTTTTGGTTTGTTTGTTTGGTTTCCTTGTTATAAATCAAGTGCACAGCTTTCATTTAGAGTGGTGTGTTTTTACTCTCCCTAAAAGTTCAGCTTTTAGTTTAACCCCAACCAGGGTGTCTATAGTTCAACTTTTGGCTACAACGATCTAATCAAGGAAGTAAATCTTTTAAGGTTTCTTATGGTGAACATGTGAAAGAAGAGCACTTAATTGGAGCTCCCCCAAAGAAGAGTTTGTGTCTACTCCTGACCTCAAACTAGGAATCTTTCATAGTTGAAGAAAATGCCCAGAAAAAGACACTTTTTAAACTCCAGTATCTACGCAGTGTCTCTTAATCTAGTGAATAATGTCCATACTTTATAATATTGACCACATTTATCATGATTACGACTTTTCCTATAAGCAAGCAGACTTGGTGCATCTATGTATGAAAGGAAGGAAACCCTCCAAATCCAGTGTTTGGAGACTTTTTTTTCCTTTTTTTTTTTTTTTCAGATTCATGGTGTGCATGAATCAGAAAAAATGTGGAAACAATTCTTTTTACCTCAAGTCTGATTGCAACACAAAACATGCTCTTAATAAAAAAAATTATTAAACAAGAGCTCATTTCCAGGATCGGCATTGCCAGAGTCCTTTTTTATAGAAGTACCACAACTCGGTATCCCTTTTTGAAATGCCTCCAGTCATTTATGTGGGGAGTTATTTGAAACACCAGAGTGAAAAAATATCTGCTTAACTTATTTTAAGTGACTTTGTCTCGATGAAAGTTCGCCAGACTTTTTAGCCGTGAGTGGCCAAGGTAAACATGTTCAGAACATACTTCTTTACCAGAGTGTTTCTTGTATATAAAAGTGTTTGTGCCCAGCAAAGAGATTTTAGCCTTCCATTAGAGGAAGCTCACCAGCACTTTTATTTTTTACATGTTTTCTGTAAGTGGGGTTTAATTAAGTTAAGCTTGAATGGCGCATTTGTTTTTTAAATAACAGGTGAATGCGTAGACTTCTGTTATGAAAGGTCACATAAGCTATTTGCGTGGTGTGCATGTTGTTCAATAAATAAAATTAATTTGAGTCCCCTTAGGGCTATTTGTCCCACTCATGATCATGTTTGAATAGCCTTAAGTAGCCTCATGTGTGGGTCAGTCAGCCCTGTGTGTGGGTTTCTTTATTGTCCGTACCTGGAAATGCCTGAATTCTCTGTCACTGCTCTCTCTCTGATTCCTATCCAACAAAACACTTTGTTGTAGCTGAGCTGTAGTTTCCTATGACATCATGGCATCATAATCCATGCCGTAAAAATTCACGGCTGGGTTTGATCTGCTGTTTTTGTTCATTTGATGGATGGTTGACTGTTGATACCTGGCAGATTTTATACAGACGCACACATGCAGGCACCTCTGGGGCAGACTGGTTTGTGGGAGTGTTTCGTGTTTGACCGTTGACAGCCAAAGCCCTCGTTTCATCTCTCCCGGTGTGCTGATATGCAGCGTGCTTTCTGTGCCGAACAACACCGTTGCAGAGTAAACAACTCGCAGAGTGACTCAGAGAAAGAGCAACAGAGACTTGCACTCATGTCTGATGTTACTTATTTTCAGGCTGAGGTAGGCCCACATGTGCAGCTTAATCATCTTTGATTATCAAAGAATTTTCTTCCTGCTAAATGTATCAAGACTGATGAGCCAAGAACTTACAAATGACCACCGCGGGGGATTTTCAAAATCATTTCCTTTTCGGCATTTAAGGAGATGTTTGTGAGTCCAACAGCGTGAAGTGCTTGTACTTTAGATTTTATTACTTTTAGCTTCTATCAAAAGAAAAATCTATGTAAATAATTTAAAGAAAATCGTACTGTGATAATTATGTGTTTAAAGGGGCCTCATTGTGCTTATTTCCTCCTCCTTAGTTTTATTCTTGGGCTGTTAGAGTAGCTATGCATGATGGATAGTCCAAAATAATCCTTATTTATCTTAAACTGGGGCTGGATGCAGGCTCTGTTCATCCTCCATCCAAAACGAGCTGTTATAGGTGTTTAAAGCCAACTTTCTTCTGATTGGCTGCTGCCTAGAAACACAAGATCTAAACTGCAGTTAGCTGGGACTGCTGTGCTTGAGGATGTCCACTTTCACCGACATCATGCGGATCCTAATGTAGGAAAACCTTGGTCAAACTGAGCATTTAGAGCAGTTTGAATCTTGTGCTCTGGGCTCACATCCATTACTTATATATATGCTGATCTACTTATTTTAATCTTCGGTCATGTTTAACATGTTCATCCTCCACTGTAAGATAATAGAAAATAAGGAAAGGCATAGTGGGCTTACTTTTTGGTTGATGTCTTTCTTTTGTATTTATGGGGCATAAAAGCAGTGTCTTACTCAGATCCAGCTGGTGCCCTTTGTTGGATCTGTCACTATCCAACTTACCGTAATAAATGAAACAAATGCTAACCAGAGCTTTGGACTGTCTCATGTTGATAGTTTAGACCTGCTTTTTATTTCCATTATTGTTTTTATTTGGTTAATGGTTAAAGAGCGCCTTTGGTCTTTATGCTTAATCTGTGTTCCTGTGGTTTCATACGTGTCAGGTGCGGATTGCACTACAGATGGAGGACGGCTCTCGGCTCCAGGGTTCGTTCTCCTGTGGACAGACTCTGTGGGAAGTGCTCACACATTTTCCAGAAATCAGGTGTGTGCATGAACATTTGTACAGGGGCAGAATCTGTGTGTCTTTGTAAAAAAACAACAACAACAACAACCGTTAAAAGGCCTCAAAAGTAAATTAAATTGTGTTGAATGCCGACTAAATAGATTTTTATGTTGTTAGTTACTGTGAGAATTTCTAGCATACAGGGCCTCCCTTTTCACCCCTGTTCACTTCACGTATTTAGATCATGCAACGTGGTTGTGTGTTTGTTTGTTTTGGAAAGGGCTAGATATTGATCCATACTTTAAGTGTGTATTCTCATGAGTGAAAAATTGCACAAAAAGAAGACTTAGAATAGGAGGAACTGCAAGAATATGATAAACTTGTTGCAGAACACATATCAGATTTAGAAGGCAAGAAACTACAAAAGGAAAGAAATAAAAGATCAAGAATGAGAAGAACTAAAAGAATTACTGTAAGAAGAAAAGACTGAAAGGGCTGCGAGAAGAGTTAGGGAAAAAGACAAGAATATGTATCAGAAGTACTAGGACAACAGGAACAACTAGAAGACTTGAAAGAGGAGCAAGTAGTAGAAGAAGAAGCTGGCAGAAGTTAAATAGAAGAATTATAAGTACTAGAATTAGAAGACAAAGAACTAGTACAAGAACAAGAAAGAATAGAAGAAATTAGAATACAAAGAAATAAAAGAATTACTGGTAGAGTGAAAAAAATAAGATATAGAGGAACTACAAGTAGAGCTACATGATGAACTCATAGAAAAAGAATTACTAGATGATGTAAAAATGTACCATATTTTACTGACCACAAGGCACACCTGATTATAAAACACACTGTCGATGAACGAGTCGGTTTTCATACATAAGGTGTCTTCATTTACGTTGGAAGTTATAGCATAGTTGTATGTTTTTAATTTTTTTGGAAATCTCTGTCAGAACATGCTATATCATGTTTAGGTGGAAGCTAGCGAGCTAACTTCCTGCTAACTTCTAACTCTGTTAAATTTAAAAAACAAAAAAAACAAAACTGTTTTCATGGATGCCTGGATGTTAAACTTAATTGTTACACCTGGTAAAGCAGCAACGCTGATCATTTTATTAAAGATGAAAGAATTTAGACAGTTTTAACTCTCAGTGATGCCGCAGTGTTCGTTTGACTTTGGGACCTGAAGCGGACCCAGATTACTCCGCGAGGCTCCTGACTACAGTAATGCTCTGACGTTGCAGCTTCGTAGCTTCCCAAAGTGATACTAAAACATTTTTTTGACAGATTTTTGAGCACCGTGTACCACATTTCGATCGGTACATCGATGTCTTGGAAAGATTTTTACTATATTGGAAAGTTTGGTTTGTAAGTGTAATATTTTTAAAAAAGAATTGAAAAATAAAACTGAAACTGTAGACAAGAAAGAAAGTAAACTTTGGTCATGGTGTTACACGAAGAGATTAATGGACTCAACACTGCATTTCATCCATCTTCCATAGCGTGAAGATTGTCACAATGAAAGCACGCCAGGATAACATTCCTTCTTCTCACCACTCCTCTACTGAAGTTTAAGCTTCATTCTAACACACACGCCCGCACACACATGCAGCTGTTGCTCAGTAGTTCCAGCTGTGCGGTCCCAGGTGCTCACGCATCCGTCCAGCCCTCATCTCCACTCCATTAAATGACATCACTGCATTTGTTGATACTTTTCCAAGCAAGTCATGCTTCCATGAAATGAATGTTAGCTCCGCGGCAACGTAAAAAGCTCAAGGAATGTTATGAAGCACAGAGGAAAGCTTTGATATTCAGAATTGAAGAGAACAATAGTAAAACATTTATGGTTCAATTAGGTACTACACGGGATTGTGCACACATGGTTTACACATGCTGATAGTGTGCCACTGCATTGCATGAGGTTTTATTGTAAAATCACCAAGCTTATTATCCTCAACCAGGAAAACCACTTGTGGGTTTTGTTTAAAGCAAATGAAAATCATTTGGGCAATTTTTAATCTCTGTGTGTGTGTCTCTGTGTGCGTGCATGTCATCTCAACATCACCAGTGTGTTGGAGCTATCCGACTCAGGATCCACTCCTGTGTGTGTTTACATGAGAGATGAGGTATGCAGCGGTCTTTTAACTCTCCCTTTCTCAGGAGATGAAAGTGAATTTTATGATAACACAGCTGCTTGTCCACATGTGCATGTCTGTGGATGTGCAGGTGAGTGGCGAAGAAGAACTAAAGAAGGCCTCTTTGAAGTCTCTAGGTCTTACCGGAGGAAGTGCCATTGTCAGGTAAGCTGCTAGTTTTCATGCTTCATGCATTTTGTGGGTGTGACTTTATTAATTATGTATTTAAAACATCATATATAGAGAGTCTACAAGATGACTGCAGCTGTGACAAGCAGAAAAGTGTCCTTCAAGATGGTCTCCTTTTGCAGCAATAAACTGCATCTGCCGATTTAGCACCACCTGCTACATTTGGTCACTCCCTAGAAGTCCCTTCTAAACCACTGGCAGTGCTACATCTCCTTCTCTGTGTTTGAAGAAAAGGAAGATGTCTTAGAGAGTCAAATAGGGCTACCTGAATGTCTCGGCCAAAAAACTCAAATGTTTTCAGTGTACTGTGAACAGGTGCAAGATGCTACGTGCCACAAATCACCCTATTTTCTGTCAGATGCCTCAGTATGTTCCAGTAGATATCTTCACAAATCAGTGGTGCCCAACACAGTATAGCAAAGTCTGTACTTGGTTGGCGATGCTATCAGCCACTAGTTGTTTCCGTTATAACACATTCTATCACAAGTCTCCCTAATGGGCGAATTTGTTGTTGGAATGTTATAGTATAGTTACACCACAGATACGTCCGGTGCAGTCACAAAAAAGGCTCATTCATTATCTGATGATGCAATTGATGTCACTTGTACAGACGTGGACTTATTTACGGATGCAAACACTTTAAATGTAAAATTTAAAAAAGATGGCCTGAGAGCACACCCGACATCTCGGCATAAGACAACTACACGCCCAGTGCACCTTATGTGGACACTGCAAACTGCTTTTTGTTCTCTGGCTCATAGACAAAGAAATATCAATCAGCAGTGATGATCCTCGGCAATGAGAGTAATTCAAATGTAGTAGGAGCTTTAGGTTTGGTCCATAGTGGAACCACGGAGATTACGTTGAAGGGGAAAGAACTAAAAAAAAAATAAAAAAAAAATCGCACTGTATTAAAACAATATAAACTGTTTGGAGCTGAAATCTTGATTTTATTACTAAGGTTTATGCTTTCTGGTACATTTACTAGCTGTTTTTATGATTTATGTTTAAGGTTTTTACTCAAAAAGGAAAAAAACTCGGAAGAAAAAGCTGAAATGGATACACCCGCTATGCCAACTACGCCCATTGCCATGGAAACCACACCCAGTTCATCCCCGCAGCCGGATCCCGCTCCATCGGTTCCAGAAATGTCAGCAACAGATGTGCCAAGCCCAGATAAGCCGGCGGAAACCCAAACTGTGCCATCTTCTGCCACTTCTACAATCACACTACCCGTTCAACAAGAAGACCCTCCAAACCTCCAGGATGCCGTTCGACCTAAAGACCCTCCCACAGGAAGTCAAACACCAGAGGACGATGGTGAAAAAGCGGGGCCGTCAGGACTAAACTGCCACCCATCATCTCCGACTTCTTCAGCTCCTTTCATTCCTTTCTCCGGAGGTGGTCAGCGCCTCGGCGGTCCAGCTGGAGGAGTTGCACGTTCCCTCTCTTCATCATCATCCTCATCTCTGTCAGCGCTGACCGCTGCTGTTGAGTCACCCAAAGCCAAGAAAGCCAAATCCAACCACGGTTCAAGCACAAAGGTCAGCCAAACCCTGAGTTTACTCGGCCTGCCAGGTGTATGCACTAGATATTTTTTGTTATTAGCTAGTGTGTCTTCTTGGCCCTTATGCTGCCATTAACCAAGTTTTTAACATAAACCACAAGCTCACAAAATATAAAGACAATGAAAGATAAAAGCTGAGAAATCTGAAGCTCATATTGATGTTTTCTGTTAAAGCCATGTGTTTGCACATTTATGAAAACTTACCACCTCAAATCCGATTATGTTGCTTATTAAGGGCATTTTTTTTGTGGGCTTCAAGAATTGTCCTTTTTAAATTGAATGTTTACAGTCCTGATCTGATCAGTAATTGGTGAAACTGGACCTTTTCTGCTCCTTTCAGTGTAAAACCACTACCAAGGTGCAGCATGATAGTATGGGTGATGCGGAGGAGTTCTTAGAGGTAAGTTTGTTCTGTAACCTCTTTATTTCAGATGACCAATTTCTCTGTTTGTGGATTTCCAACTCCTTCATAAATTAACAGTGTTTTCATATCTGCAGTGTTTAGTCAGTTTAAATTGAACTCTGTTTGGTTTTCCAGCTTTGTGTAGTTCGTTTGTGCAGGATTGAACACAGTAAATCACCCACACCGAGACCCTTTGAGAAACCTACCGTACCAATCTATGCTTGCTACTCTGAAATGCAGCAAGACACTATAGATGTGCCAAGGTTAGCAACTAGCCGTGAAATCAACGTAAATTATTAATCTTCCCCACTGGTCCAGAAGGCAGCACCTTCTTCCTGTATTTACTTTTGTTGCTCCCCAAACCCATTTGGCCAATAAATGGGCTAATATCCCCACGTGGTTTGTAGTGATGCATTTTGGTTTGCTTGGAGTTCCCTTGGTTTGAGTTTGAATTTACAATCTTATCAAATGATTCAGACCAGGGTAAACGAACTGTACGTTTAAGTCTAGACACCCAGAAGCTGTTTTATTTTATTTTGAAACTCTTATCTGAATGATTGCGGAGAAAGCCAAGAGTAATTTTAGTGGCCACTAGGACTAAAACCTGCATTTGATTTATAAGAAGCTACAGGCTTTACCTCAAAATAAGGTTTATGTTACACTACAATGCATACATCCAGTTTCACATCATTATACCTCAATGCAGAGTCCTGACAGAGTCGACATCTCAGCCTCATTTAACCAGAACACTGAACAAAATACATGCTGGTAAACTTACATCTTTACCACAGTAGATTGGGATGATGATGATGATGATTAAAAGGGGCTCAAACTGTTGTGAAACTGTGCAATACAAATAGTTTAGAAGTTTCCTGGTTCAGCTGTGGTCTGGCTCTTTGTGGGGGGGGGGCATCACTGGTGTACAGAAATTGTTTGTAGATGTTTATTGGTCAGTGGTTGTCAGCTTTCATACATACCGTCCAATGCCCACGTGCTCTTCACCATGTGGAGAAGCAGGGGATCGAACCGCTAACCTTCTGATTGGTAGATGACCCTCTCTACCTCCTGAGCCCCAGGCAGCTGTATTCAGTTTGTCTAAAGAAACCTTTAAATTCAAGGCACATTAAAATTTATGCAATGTTGTGCAGTAAATTCTGAATACATTTAAGAGAAAACTCAGACGATCACTTAGGAGGAGCAGCATTTGGCGATGGTGGGGAAGAAGAACTTTCTTTTAACAGGAAGAGATGTTCAACAGAACCAGGCTCAGGGAAGGGCAAAATTCTACCGTGGCCGAAAAGTGAATAGGGATCGTGAGAAGTAAACAAGACTTCTGCTGTGATCAATAAAGCTAAAATTTGGACACTTGAGATCCAAATATTGTTACGGACACTCTTATATCTCCCTCTGTCTGCAGCCAGTGGAGAGGGAGCCTCTCATCTACCACCTGGACTCCACATCCCATCAGTCTGAGGACTACGGGGATCTGCCCGACGAGTTCTTTGAAGTGACCGTGGATGATGTGCGGAAGCGCTTTGCCCAGCTGAAGAGCGAGAGGTGGGGAAGGAGGAAATGGTTGAGTGACTGGGTGCAGTATTTAGCACAAATACCTTGTTGCTGCAGAAACACGTCTGGATCCGATGTGTTTCTGCGCTGTTTGGAACAGATAATTAGTCAGTTTGGCATTCAGTCCTGCGGTGTTTTGTCCATGTATAACCCTTAATTGCAAAAATAGCCTAGCAGTGATGAGAGGCAATAGGCAGGGAGAATGCTGGGCATCACTGTGTGCATTTCTGTATTTTTACTTGTTTATTTTTTAAAATTTATGACCAGTTTGAAGTTTTCAGTTATTTATGAGCGCTTCTTCAAAACAGATGCGTTCAAGTTTATTCTGCAATCTCTGGATGTGGCGTCAGCAGACCACAGCTGTTGAGACATCGTGTGTGTTTGCAAACATGTTCTCATTTATAAGACAACACACAAACACTACAAAAGCTTCTAAATATGGCACGCTGGGAGCAATTAGTAGTTCTGTTTCGTGTAGACGTTTATCTTCCAGCCATCGACCAAATACCGTCAGGTTGAGACCTCACCGCTCGCATCCTTTAATCTCTGTCTGCACTGACATGGCTGCCTCATGGCTACTGCCATGTCAATGACTGCAATTACCAAGGGTGGAATTAAGCCGACCAAAGCAATTTGCCTGTAACACGCACGCGCACACACACACACACACACGGCCACACACGAGTAGCGGTAGGAAAGAAACAGTGATTCTTTGTTTTCTTTGCACATCTTACTCATTGTGGGTTAAACAACCTGCTTTTTATTTCTCAGCTCATTTCATTGTAACTCTGTGTGTGTGTCTCTCTCTGTCCCTCATTCCTCAGGAAGTTTTTGGAGGAGGCTCCGCTTATGACTAAATCTCTGAGAGAATCACAGATAAAGGAGAAGATGGATAGATATCCCAAAGTAAGCTCGTACACATAATAACATTTTAATATATGTACGTTTAAAACATACAGACTATAAATAGCCCACTCTGCCTCTCCAGGTGGTCCTGAGGGTCCAGTTTCCAGACAGATATGTTCTACAGGGCTTCTTCCGGCCTCTAGAGACAGGTGTGTGTTTGTGTGTGCCTCCATGTGTGTGTGTGCATGCAGTATGGAGAGTGTTCATTTCAGCTGGCTAGCCACAGGTATGGCTGCAATGTGAAAGCTACTTGCGGCTCCCTCACCACATTTACGACTGTAGCCACACCACAGTGACAGACTGAAAGAATGAGACAGGTCTGTAATTCCAGCGATGAGATGCACCTCAGCCCGAAAGCAACACGACAACCAGCAGAACAACAAATTGCAGGGAAATTCCTTCTGACAAATGAATTACAGTCCACACAGAGACCGATGTAGCTGCACACAGCCCAGTTTGTGCTTCAGCTGGTAATCTGTGTCCTTGTTTGTGTCTTGTGTCCAGTTGATGCTCTGAGGCACTTTGTAAGGAGTCACTTGGAGGACCCTCAGCTCAGTTTCTACCTGTGTGAGTATCGTTACATTTCCCCGAATCGTCATCTTCATCCTGTGAAGGTCTGACCATGTTACAGCATCAGTTTCTGCTTCTGGTTTATTCCAAATCAGATAGGATAATAGTTCTGATCATAATTACAAGCACATTGAAATCACCTGAAAAAGCTCAAATCTGATGACTGGCTTAATCCAACCTCCTCTAGTGTCAAATAAATGCAAAATTAACACTTAGAATTTTGACCAAAACTGCAAAAAATGCTGATAAACTCAAAATTTCTAGAGATCTACATGCAATGAGGCCAACTTTTCTATGAGCCTGAAAAAGGAGGAATTTTCTACAAACGTTTTGGATCCAAATTATCAGTTTGAATTGTTTTCATTTGAATTGCCTGGATTTGGATTTTCTTCAGTTAGATTTTACTGATAATGTCGCTTTTTTTATTTAAACTATGTGCAGGTACATTTGAGCGAGTTTAAGATGTATGAGGTTACTGAAAGTGAGGTTTGGTGACAGCTATCCAAAGCAAAACCTTTTTTTTCCTTATAGAGTAAGCATTTAAGAGACATTTTATTAGGTTAGACCTTGTACTGAGTCGAACCCCTTTTGCCTTCAGAGGTGCCTCCGTTCTTCGTGGCACAGATATTCAGAGAGATGCTGGAAACATTTTTGATTTTTGGTCCATATCGACATAACATCACACAGTCGTTGGAGATTTGTTGGCGACACACCCATGGTTTTAATCTCCAGTTTCACCTCATCTCAAAATGATCAACCTTAAAATTATCAGCAATATAACCTGCTTTTATTTTTACCATTGTTTTATTTTTTTTATTTAACTCCACTTGTAAAAATAACAGGAACAACCAGTTTTAGCCTTGATATGTGCTGCCTACACACAAAGCTTTGAAACTGTATCAGTTTTTCTGCCATGTTTCCAGATTACAGATCAAATGTGAATTTGATTTTTTTTTTGTAAAGCGTCTTTTTTTTTTTTTTTTAGTTAAAAGTTGCTCCTGTTGTTTTGTAAAATCGTAAGTCTCTGTGCCGCGTCCATTTGTTTTTCATTCATTTGTCAGCATTAACTTTCCTGTGTTCATGTATATGTTGTATTATAGACTTTTATTCACAGTTGATCATTTTGACCACTTTTCTTATTCCTTTTTCAGTCATTACCCCTCCAAAAACTATTCTGGATGACCCTTCAGCTACGCTTTTCCAGGTACGACTCCTCACACTGTCCTTCGATTACCTTGATAGAGCTTCTAAGTAATAATACTCAGTAATAAAACGGCTGAATTAAACCGAAAAAACTTCATCACTGTGAAACTGCAGAAAACGACTACAAAACCTTTTTTTTTTTTTTTCCCCCCTCAACATGGACATAAAATATATCAGCTGGTCCTCCTCTGCTCTTCAAAGCCTCGCTACATTCCCGTTCTCCCTTCTTCCCTCGCTTCTGCTCGCACTTGTTCCCCCCTCTCCACTGTCCTTGACCCCAGCTGGGCTTGATTTTTCCCAGACTGGCACATGGGGTTAATACAGGCCTTACTTTGATCTCGACACACAAACACACCAGCGCTCACACACATACACACACATGCAGAGCAACGGGCAGCTTTGATGCTTTGTAGCCTTTGAGTTTATTCAAAATGTGAAGAGATACATATGCTTGATCACCTCGACACTCCCGCGCACTGCTGGTTCTTGTATTTTTAGACACTTTATTTTGGCAAACATTTTTGTCATCGGCGCCTTTCGTTCTTTCACTTGACACTTTGATTCAACCTGAAGCGCACAGAAGAAGTGGAGGAAGAGGCGGATGTTTGAAGTGATTTTTGAAGTGATATCGTGTTGTGATGATGAGCAAGATTCAGCTCCTCTGAGGGACTGCTATAAAAGATAACAATCCTCAAAAGTGCACTTTGAAATATGGCTGCGTTGGTGTGTTCATACCCCTTTGGTGTCACGATCGCTCCGAATCACGTCTGATGTTCTGATGTCATTCTTTGTTTTTCATCTTTTCATCCCCTTCTGAACTCTCCCCGTCTGTTTTTTCAGTACTCGTCCCTCTCCTGTACCCCAACTCTGGCTTTCTTTTCCTTTTTTTTCTTCTTCTTTTCTTTCCTCCTCCAACTCCAGCACCCACATGGTCCCTCTCTCCGGCCCTCTCCTGTGCCTCACCCCTCCTCTCTCAACCCCATGTCTCTATCCATTAGGGACTTAAAAGCGTTAAAGTGCGCAAAAACAAAATCTTTAATCCTCCTTGGTGTCATTTCTCCCATACGCACACTCTGTCTGGCTCCGCTTCCCTGTCTATACATCAATCTTCGACACACACATTTAAAGAATCTTTAATCTTTTTTTGTCATGTCACATAGACGTTGGCACGCACACACACACACACACACACACACACACACACACACACACACACACACACACACACACACACACACACACACACTTTAATCACTTTGTGTCATGTCAGGAAAGGAATGTTTCCCAACCCAGAAGTCCTTTGATACCAGTCATCCCCTCCCTCATCCGTCTCCCCCTCTGTCTTCCATCAGGATCTGTTCTGCCTCTTTTTCCTTTTCTCTCTCCATTCCTCTCTTCTTCTTTTTTTTTTTTTTTTTTTTTTTTTTTTTTAATTTAAACACACTCACCCTCTCCCTCCCACACACACTGGTCTCTTCTCGTTGGCCTCGTCTTTTTCCCGAATGGAAATGTTGCTGCTGCTGCCAGACGGAGCAGGATTGCAGGAATGCCTGTTGTTTCACTGTAACACATTGTTTCCTGCTCACAGGGCTGTAATAATAGCAATTAGGCCAGTGTGTCCCAATTTAGCAACCAGAGAAAGGACAGTGTGTGTGTAAGACGGCCTGTGGTGTTGGGTGAACCCGCCAGACCCCAGCTACAGCCTTTATTTTACGCTGCTGATTATCTAAGAGTCTGGAGGGAAAGTTATATGCAAAATGTTTTATGGCATCATTGCTGCGTCTAATGTATATTTTAACTGCTGATTAGAGTGTCTGAAGAGCCTCATTCCTCTAAAAAAGAAAAAAGATATTTGTCCTCCTAGCAACTCAGCAGCAATCTTAGTTTGAGCTGTCATCTTCATCAACTGCAATTACGCTGATTATCGGGACATTAAGACTGCATTATAGGGAATCCCCATCAACAATTTTGACACAATAAACTTTAAAAAAAAAGCTTTTTTCCCCTTCAACGTTAGTCATTTCTTACTGTTGCAGAATTCTTCTGAAGAGTTTTGGTCCAGATTTTTTTTAAATGTCTGGTTTCTGTCTTATTATGTCTTTGCACATATGCAGTTTATGTGGACAGAGATGACCTCTACCATGAAGTTCTTCAGGCACATGTAGGAAACAGTTACCTGTTGGGAGGAACTGAACAGAGCCCAGTCTCTACATGATTTAAGTCATTTTGGATCCAGGACAAAGTACAGACCTCACAAGGATAAAAGCAGGTTGTCGAGAGTGACAAGAAGTGCAGTTACTTATATTCACAAGCTGTAGCAAACATATATTCAGCAGACACATCTTAAATACAGCAGTTAACTTTGCTTTTTAACACGAATATCTAATCGATCAATCAAATAGCAGCATCTCAGCACATTCAAGCAAGTAGACGTGGTCAAAACGACGACCCGCTGAAGTTCAGGCCGAGGATCAGAATGAGGAAGAAAGTGTCTTTGAATGTGGAAGGCAACACCAGGTGTCACTTCTGTCGGCTAAGATCAGGAAACTGATCAGCAAGTCACACATGCTCAACAAAATTGAGCAATAGAAGATATAGAGGATATTTTCTTGCTGCACTTTGGGAGCCTTCACACCAGCTGTTTGGATGGAAAAGGCTGGATGGGTTTATAACGGGGGTATTTCCACCTCCTTTTTAAATTTTGCTTCTGATCAATATACATTGTTGATGCGAGTTTTGAGATCATTTAAAGGAGGATTATTAGAGATTTTAGTAGTATTGATAAGAACTGTTGAAAGTCGGGATTCAGAAAGTGGATTTTAAAACGCTGCGGTGCTTAGACTGTGTAATTTATGTGAAAAGATGCTCTAAGTGTTGTATTTTAGTGTTCTTGGTTATCGCATATAAATTTAAAAAGATTTTTAGGGATGGTTTTGGTTGCTGATCCAGTGCGACGCACTTAAATGGAGCAGAGCAATCCTTTTTTCTCTGTCACCTGCTTATGAGTCAGAAAATGTTTATGAAGTTTCATCTGTGAGACTGAAGGAAGCTATTGAACCTCTCTTTTTCAGGGCATTTGTTTACGTGGTAATAAAGCTCTTTAGGAGGCACATGTCACTCTCTCACAGCTCTGCACGTATGTGTCTGTGATAAACAGATCAGTTCTTTCAGGATTCCTGGAGCGGAGCGTCTGCTGCTCATCAGTATGTCGTAAGAGGATCTGTTAACTAGATGAAGGAAGAGGGAAAGCAGCAGAAACATCTTTAGGACTTTAGTGTTTTTAATTTTGTTTTAATGTCTTACATACACACTTACCAATAAAAGGCCTTTTGAAGTCGTGAATCGTCTTAAATTCAGCTCGGATGGGTCGTAAACGTTTTAATTAAAAGAATTTCCAGAACCCACCACCACTATTTCTACACACTGAGGTTTCGTAAGAGTAGGTAACATTAGCTAGCTTTAACTCATGCCTAAAAAACAATACAAATACAAAGAGGCACAAATTCTCAAGCCAGGCGTGGGTCAGTTTAGATCGTTTGGCCTCGAGGTTTACGACACACTGAGGAAAAACCCTGATGATGATTATATTGAAGAAGGCCTTGTTGGCCAGCCTGCTCGATGGCCTCAGGAAGATGTGAGTGTAACAACGAATGGCTTAATGATAAAGATTAATCTTGGATTTAAAAGCTGGTGCCTAGAAATCCTCACGACGCAGCAGCACTAGTGTGCTGAGGTCTCTTTTTTTTTTTCACCTCCTACACCTCATCTTTTTAGATTTTTACTTAATACCCTGATTATTGCATTACATTTAGAATTATTTTTGACTGAGCTCTTTAAGTTTTTTCCTGGTTTCAGCTGCTATCCTCATTTTTTTAGACGAATCTAGTCTTAAATTCAGCTCAGACTTATTTACACCTGCAGACATTGCGGCGATGATGACCACTCGCTGAAGCTCCTGTGCAGCAGATGTTGTCTTTCCTTTCTCTTAGTCTGACAGGCGTGTGCCCTGCCTGCCTGTCTGTCTGCATTTCCACCTCATAATTGTACGGTTGATAATTTCTGGCTGCAACTGGCCCATTATACCCATTAAGACTATCACTGGAGAGGAATGTGGTGCTTCAGGGGTGAAAGTGTTTTCACTAACCATGTGATTGGTGCTCAATTTGTGGTCGGCTTCAAAGAACCAACGGTTGCTGGTTCAGGTCCCCCGAGCGATGAATCATCCCCAAAAATGAACCTGACTTTGACTTGGATGTGGCGGCAGCTCTCAGTTTGCGTGTAGCGGGAGGTGGTTTTGTTTGGATTCTTTCGTGTTTTGCAGAAATTGTAATGTGTGCCAGACATTTTTAGAAGCTTCCGTTCACTCCTGCTCTGCTCCTCTGTGTGTCTGCAGGCCGACCTGTTTCCTGGTGCGCTCGTGTACTTCGGCTCTGATGTCAAGACAGGTTTTTGTTTGATTTCCTTCTTTCATATGCTGACTTGGATTAGATACTGGTGTATTATCGAGGAATGTAATGTAACAAAACAATAGCTTACTGTGTGTGTGTGTGTGTGTGTGTGTGTGTGTGTGTGTGTGTGTG